ATTTGCTGACACTATGCGTATAAAACCAAAGCAATCATCAACATAGCATCTTTCGAATTTGCAGCAGAATGAAATCTTTCTGGTAAGTTCGTTCAATATGTTTCGAATAGCATTTGAAATCATTACTATTTTACAGTGCATTGCTTGCCCTGGTTGGTGTATGCTCGGCTCAACTGTTCGCATGGCCTGCCTCTTCCTACAGCCCATACTATGCTAGGTACTATGCTGCATCTTCACTCGCAGCGCCAGTAGCTGCCGCATACCCAGCAGTAGCCGCAGCTCCTGTAATGCCTGCTCCAGCTTATGCTGCTCCAGCCTACGCAGCTGCTCCAGCTATCGCTGCTCATACAGCTCTTAGCCCTCCAGTTGCAACAGGACCAGCCATAGCTGCTGCCACCGCCAACGGAGCTCCACTCCTTAGCCCGGCTTATGCTGCCGTCATGGCTCCAGCGGTTCAGCCTGCTCCAGTAGCTGCAGCACCAGCTCCAGTTCCTGCCTACGCTCCATTCCAAACGGCGACGTACCTCATCGGGTCAAATAAGGAATGAATGTTCAGCTGCCAAACTGAATCCACGTTTCTGTATATTGCCAACCATCGAAATAAATCATTCATCTTTTCTTTTTCTTTGCGTAAAGCCAAAGAAGCAAGATATAAAACCTTTTAAAAAATATCAATTAACAGGCTCTGCTTCTTAATTAGAGCAAATTGCAATTAAAAGTAGGAATGGATTTTTAACAAAAAGACCCTGCACTTGCGGAGCTTGAAGTAAAATAGTAATGATATTGAGTTGGCCAAAACTTTTTTGAATATGTTATGAAAGTGCTGTCTAATTGAGGTTTAAAGCCATTAATCTCCACTCATTGTATTGGTACTAGGCTACTACTTTAATTGGAACTATTAGTCGTTCTTTGCAATCATGCCTGGTATAGAAATCGACTTGTCCCAGACCGTCAGCACCTGCCCCACCCCATCCATATTTGAATACAGAACACATGTTGCAAAAAAATGAAATTGGAGCTCAACGAATATGGGTCTCTCTTGCGTAGCCAAACCTCGCTGAATCGGATCAACACCTTTTCTGGATCTCGTCGTTGCTTTTAAGAAAAGTACTTAAGCACAAATAGAACTTTGCCTCACGCCGTCCTAGCTTCTACAGCAAGGCGCTCTCTGATGATATATACTTATCTTCAATTTCTATGCGCATAATAAGGTTTACACTCGAAAGGGTATCCAAAAACTTTGTTAATTGTAGCGTCTATGCACTTTTGCATGTTACAGTTGGCAACCCGAGCAGGCAAAATGCATTCAGCTGCTTACAATAAAAGTACTTGAGCTCCTTGAAATTTTTGATGGCACAACGGATAAATCAAAGCGGCGTGTCTAGATGTGGAACCCATACTGAGTTTGTTAATTACTGTTTGTTCATTTCAAACTCAAAATACAAGCGCTAACCTTATGGGTTGTCGTCCACCAGAGTTCAGCTGTCTATGCGAAGGTGAGAGTGTACTCATAAGATATCTGGGCGCTGTAGCATGATATCCAACCTTCCAAATGATGTTACTATTACCTACG